AAACTGAAACAATTAAAGTTGTAGACTTTAAAATTCTTTAAAATTTTACTTTGTAGAGCTGAATGTAGATCCTTCAAACAAACGATTATTCTTGAAATAATAAAATAACCACAAAATTTGACTTACTTCCAACATCCAGCCTGGTTCCTCCACCGAACGTCCACCACAGTGATACAAACTGACTGAGTGGTCGTACAAAAACCTCTGACTGTAGAGAGACACAGCTCTCTGACTCTGACAAACAGCCTGTGAAATACAGCTGGTTCACAGGGAAACAAAGAAGACATGTTCATATTTAACATCTTTTAAATTATCAACTTTCTTGAAGTAAAAATTTAACTAAATATTTTCATTTAAAAATTTCAGAGCGCTCTTGCTAATAGTAAATCATCTTTATTCTAAATTAAGGTTGTAATTAACATATAAGTCTAAATAATATGCTGAATGTCAAATACAGTTTGAGTAATTAAAACTATTGCAATGTCTTTTTTTTGTGTTTATAGACACGATCCAGCTTTGAGCTTGGCCTGATTAGTGTCTGTGTGTGATTGCTGCAATGTGACAAAAAAAGTCTGACCAACCAATCACTGTACAAGATTCTGAAAAATGGTTTTACGTATGTTGTAATTGTTAAACACCGAATCATAATTCATATGTGACCCTGCTGACAGCTTGATTGGTTAATACTGATCAGAATATCATGTTCAGGTTTATCCAATACAAAGAATGAGAAAATCTAATAATGATTCTTAGACTCTCACTGAGTGTGTGTGGAGATGGCCTTGGAAGCTGTGTGTTTATGTAAGAATGATGGGAGGGGGGAGTATGGGAGCCACTAATCTAAGAGAATGAGTTTAACATGTGTGATCTAAGGAAATGGGGTTATTGTAATTGACAGACACAGTGTTTAGAAAAGAAAAAGTATTGTTGTGTATTTGAATTAAAAAGATGAATGAATGTTCATGTGAGATTGAGCTAATGATAAATCTAACAAGTAAAACTTGTCAGGTTCCCCTGTGTGGAAGGCAGAGCGTAGACTAGCATCATGACTGTGCTTGGAAATGGGTTTATTGCTGGGCTACAGTAAACAAACTGGAAGGCAACTGGAAAATACTAAATAGACGGGTTCAAACAGAGAATAACCACAGAGGCAGAACACAGAGCAAGAGGGAGATCGCAACACTGGACAGAAGGAAACACGGACACTAAATACAAGAGGGAATGAGAGCAAAGAAGAAACACCTGGGGAACACAGCTGGCAACAATCTAACAACTGAGAAGAAGATGGGAAACAAGCTTGAACATGACGCACACAGGACAAGACGCTTTCAGAATAAAACAGGAAACACACAGTAAGATGCAGACCACCTAAAATACAAGGAACAGAATGAGAAGACAGACAGGACAGGACAGCGAGAGAGACCAGACAGAAACACAGAGCCATGACTGGTGAAACAGGCAACTATACCTGGACATGAGACAGACTTCACAGAAGTGCCAGGTTAAGGACACAGAGACGAGACCAGGACATAAAAAGGGGCCTAATAACAAAGTAGGAATAGAGATAAGTCAACTAGGAAACATAAGTCACACAGAGAACACAACAATATCATTACACAAGACTCAAAAAAACGTAAACAAAAAACACTAGGTCAACAACACAGGTACCATGACAAAAGTGCATACACTGAATGAAACGTGAAGTGAAATATATATATAACGGAAGATTCATATGTGATGGCCTTATTGAAAAATTATGTTACGTAAACATAGAAAAGAAAACATGTACTAAACTGATTTTAAAGAATCTCTAAAATCATGTATTTGAAAGTCCAAACTCCACACAGAAAGGCCTCAGGCAGGTGGTGGAATCAAAATCAGGACTTTCTTGTGTTGAGGCAACAGCACTAATAACTGTGCCACATGTCAGCAAGGATAGCTGATGGATGGAGGGAGCTTTAGGTCGAGGGGGCGGTGTGGCAGCAATCTTTCACACCAGCCTACTAATCAACCAAAGACCCAGACAGACTTTTAATTCATTTGAAAGCCTGATGCTTCGCCTCGTCCACCCCAGCTGTGAAACTCAGAAACCAGTCTTACTTGTTATCATCTATCGTCCACCTGGGCCTTACACAGAGTTTCTGTCTGATTTCTCAGACTTTATATCTGATTTAGTTCTGAGCTCAGATAAAATAATTATTGTGGGTGATTTTAACATCCATGTAGATGCTAAAAATGACAGCCTCAACATGGCATTTAATCTGTTATTAGACTCAATTGGTTTCTCTCAAAATGTAAAAGAACCCACCCACCACTTTAATCACACTCTAGATCTTGTTTTAACATATGGCATAGAAACTGAACATTTAACAGTGTTTCCTGAAAACCCTCTCCTGTCTGATCATTTCCTGATAACATTTACATTTACAATAATTGATTACACAGCAGTGGAGAGTAGACTTTATCACAGTAGATGTCTTTCTGAAAGCGCTGTAACTAAGTTTAAGAATATAATCCACCCACTGTTATCATGTTGTCATGGGCCTGGTGAGTGTGGGATTTTTCATAGCACTGGGCTCCGGAGTCTCCAATCAGCCTTCACACCTGACTGCAATCAAGTCACCGGCAGTGTGAACGCTGCCAACGTACCAGACTGCTTAGTTTAAAAATGTTCTATCTTTGTGACCAACTAATTCTGGAATATGTAAAACTGTGAAGGTAATATCATAGTTTGCATGAGAAAAACAGCGAGTAGAGCCACGAGTGAGGAGGAAAGGTGGTGATGTGCTGAGGACGGCTCCAGCTGACTGACTCTGTGTGTTTGCATACGTGTCCTGCCTCTCTGCTCACAGCCCTTAAGAGGCCAGTGTTGATCAGTGTCTGTCCAGGCCTTTCAGAGACACTGACACGCCGGCAGCACAATGATGATGTCACTGACTCTACTGCTGGCCACCCTGGGGCTCCTTGTTCAGGGTGAGTCTCTCTGTGAGCGCTTGGCTTCGAAAGTCTGAGAAATCAGACAGAAACTCTGTGTAAGGCCCAGGTGGACGATAGATGATAACAAGTAAGACTGGTTTCTGAGTTTCACAGCTGGGGTGGACGAGGCGAAGCATCAGGCTTTCAAATGAATGAAAAGTCTGTCTGGGTCTTTGGTTGATTAGTAGGCTGGTGTGAAAGATTGCTGCCACACCGCCCCCTCGACCTAAAGCTCCCTCCATCCATCAGCTATCCTTGCTGACATGTGGCACAGTTATTAGTGCTGTTGCCTCAACACAAGAAAGTCCTGATTTTGATTCCACCACCTGCCTGAGGCCTTTCTGTGTGGAGTTTGGACTTTCAAATACATGATTTTAGAGATTCTTTAAAATCAGTTTAGTACATGTTTTCTTTTCTATGTTTACGTAACATAATTTTTCAATAAGGCCATCACATATGAATCTTCCGTTATATATATATTTCACTTCACGTTTCATTCAGTGTATGCACTTTTGTCATGGTACCTGTGTTGTTGACCTAGTGTTTTTTGTTTACGTTTTTTTGAGTCTTGTGTAATGATATTGTTGTGTTCTCTGTGTGACTTATGTTTCCTAGTTGACTTATCTCTATTCCTACTTTGTTATTAGGCCCCTTTTTATGTCCTGGTCTCGTCTCTGTGTCCTTAACCTGGCACTTCTGTGAAGTCTGTCTCATGTCCAGGTATAGTTGCCTGTTTCACCAGTCATGGCTCTGTGTTTCTGTCTGGTCTCTCTCGCTGTCCTGTCCTGTCTGTCTTCTCATTCTGTTCCTTGTATTTTAGGTGGTCTGCATCTTACTGTGTGTTTCCTGTTTTATTCTGAAAGCGTCTTGTCCTGTGTGCGTCATGTTCAAGCTTGTTTCCCATCTTCTTCTCAGTTGTTAGATTGTTGCCAGCTGTGTTCCCCAGGTGTTTCTTCTTTGCTCTCATTCCCTCTTGTATTTAGTGTCCGTGTTTCCTTCTGTCCAGTGTTGCGATCTCCCTCTTGCTCTGTGTTCTGCCTCTGTGGTTATTCTCTGTTTGAACCCGTCTATTTAGTATTTTCCAGTTGCCTTCCAGTTTGTTTACTGTAGCCCAGCAATAAACCCATTTCCAAGCACAGTCATGATGCTAGTCTACGCTCTGCCTTCCACACAGGGGAACCTGACAAGTTTTACTTGTTAGATTTATCATTAGCTCAATCTCACATGAACATTCATTCATCTTTTTAATTCAAATACACAACAATACTTTTTCTTTTCTAAACACTGTGTCTGTCAATTACAATAACCCCATTTCCTTAGATCACACATGTTAAACTCATTCTCTTAGATTAGTGGCTCCCATACTCCCCCCTCCCATCATTCTTACATAAACACACAGCTTCCAAGGCCATCTCCACACACACTCAGTGAGAGTCTAAGAATCATTATTAGATTTTCTCATTCTTTGTATTGGATAAACCTGAACATGATATTCTGATCAGTATTAACCAATCAAGCTGTCAGCAGGGTCACATATGAATTATGATTCGGTGTTTAACAATTACAACATACGTAAAACCATTTTTCAGAATCTTGTACAGTGATTGGTTGGTCAGATTTTTTTTGTCACATTGCAGCAATCACACACAGACACTAATCAGGCCAAGCTCAAAGCTGGATCGTGTCTATAAACACAAAAAAAAGACATTGCAATAGTTTTAATTACTCAAACTGTATTTGACATTCAGCATATTATTTAGACTTATATGTTAATTACAACCTTAATTTAGAATAAAGATGATTTACTATTAGCAAGAGCGCTCTGAAATTTTTAAATGAAAATATTTAGTTAAATTTTTACTTCAAGAAAGTTGATAATTTAAAAGATGTTAAATATGAACATGTCTTCTTTGTTTCCCTGTGAACCAGCTGTATTTCACAGGCTGTTTGTCAGAGTCAGAGAGCTGTGTCTCTCTACAGTCAGAGGTTTTTGTACGACCACTCAGTCAGTTTGTATCACTGTGGTGGACGTTCGGTGGAGGAACCAGGCTGGATGTTGGAAGTAAGTCAAATTTTGTGGTTATTTTATTATTTCAAGAATAATCGTTTGTTTGAAGGATCTACATTCAGCTCTACAAAGTAAAATTTTAAAGAATTTTAAAGTCTACAACTTTAATTGTTTCAGTTTTTTGTACCATTACCAAATATGGTTTTACATATAAAATTGTAATGATGCATAAGAATTGTATCCATAAAACAAAGGTGTAAAATCACAATTTCAATGACTGGAACTCGAGGACTTTAAACATTTTGTCAGAGTCAGAGAGCTGTGCCTCTCTCTAGTCAGAGGTTTTTGTACGACCACTCAGTCAGTTTGTATCACTGTGGTGGACGTTCGGTGGAGGAACCAGGCTGGATGTTGGAAGTAAGTCAAATTTTGTGGTTATTTTATTATTTCAAGAATAATCGTTTGTTTGAAGGATCTACATTCAGCTCTACAAAGTAAAATTTTAAAGAATTTTAAAGTCTACAACTTTGTTGGAAGTAAGTTTGTGCTCAAATGTTAAATCATTGAACATCATTTTCCTGTGAGCTGAACTCAGTCACATCACATTTTTGTTTCGCTCCTTTACTGAACCTGTCCTCACATGTTCCATTTTTAAACAGGAACAATTTAAAGGTTTAAAAAAAATGTACTCTTTAAACCTGCTGCAGAATTAAAAGGACTCAGGACAGTGTGACTGGAGATCATTTCTTAGTGTTTCTGACACATCTGTGAATTTTAAAAATGTCCCACTTTGTCTTTGACCTCAGTTTGAAATTGTCTGAGAATATTTATCTTGTTTAAATCTGGCTTATGTTGAAATATTCTGACTGGTTCGGTTTAGCAGATAACGTCTTTATCAGTGAAATGATCAGCTGGTGATAGTTTAACAGTAATTATGATTGTAGAAATGCACCAAATGAAATGATTAAAATGTTGAATGTAAATAACTGAATATTTGTTCAAAGTGTGTTATATTTTGTATTAAACACTAAAACCATGCAGACAATTAGAAGTTGATGCTGAAGATAGTTCCTGAGATGCTGTGTAACAGTTTGGCCCCAGTGCAGTTTGTTGAGCTTCAGGTCATATGAGGACTGTGAGTGCGCTGATGTGCATGAGAGCTTTGTTAAAGGGAAGTGAAACACTGTGTGAGTGAGTGACTGGTGGAGCAGAAAAACATCTGTCAGAAAGTTCTTAAAGGAGAAGATCCACTCTCACACAGTGAAGGCGTTACTGCCAGCTGTGCCGTGTGCTCCCTGTCCTCTAAGCTGATTGGTGTCTCCTAGGTGACGCTCGTCCCACCCTGACGGTGCTGCCCCCCTCCAGAGAGGAGCTGCAGCAGGGGAAGGCCACGCTCATGTGCCTGGCCAACAAGGGCTTCCCCTCAGACTGGAGTCTGTCCTGGAAGGTGGACGGCAGCAGCAGCAGCAGCTGGGAGGAGGGCAGGAGCCCAGGGGTGCTGCAGGAGGACGGCCTCTACAGCTGGAGCAGCACCCTGAGGCTCCCTGCAGACCAGTGGGAGAAGGTGGGCTCTGTGACCTGTGAGGCCACCCAGGGCTCCCACACTCCTCTCTCACAGACACTGAGGAGAGACCAGTGTTCCCAGTCCTGAGCTGACTCGCTGGTTTTCCTCTGCAGGTGTCTCTCTTTCTGTCACTCGTCTTTGTTTTGTTCATCATTTCACTGTTTGACACAATAAAGATTCATTCAAAGAAACTCTCGTTCCACTTCTGCTCTTTTTAACTTGCACAGATTGAGATCCTTTCACAATAAACACAGTTGTTCTTCACTCAGGGGTTTCAAACTCGTGGCCCGGGGGCCACTTGCTGCCCATATATTGACGTGAAGAAATAAAATGCAGTTTGTCCTTTGAAGTGACTTTTTTGTTTGTTGTTAAGTGCAAAGTTATTTAAAAAACCAAAAATGATTTAATATGACTGCAACATGAGCAGAGAGTACAAACATGCTGAGGTTCAGTGACTAATGTGTTCACTTATTTCTGCATTTTGATTCTGTTAAGTACGAACACAATGACAGCAGACGTGCTGCTACATGTCTGCAGACAGAGGACCAATGACTTTATTTGGCAGTTCAATGAAAGGCTTCAGTTAGTTAAGAAGGAGGAAAAAGAATCTGTATTCATGTTATACAATATTTAAATAAAAAAAACAACAAAACAAAACACTTTAGGAAATATTTGTGTTCTTTCTTCTTCTTCTTTTTGTACTACTTGAACACTAAAGTTGCCGTCCAATAAGACGACAGTGTCAGCTTTGGCCCACAGCTCATTTAAATTTGACACCCCTGATCTTAAATGAAAGCACAACTATGTCAGTTTTCTTTTATTTAAAACTTACAATCCTACGTTCCAAAATCATTTCGCTCACCTGCATTCAGACCATGTTAACAACACTTATTATGGCTGCCACTGAAATCTTCCTCCTTACATATTCTAAGAGTCTGGGGGAAAAACCAAAGCACTCAGTGTATTTTATACTGAACTTTTTCAGAGCACACAACCATAACGAGTCTGCCGGTACTGAAACCTGCTGTGGACATTTTCGGTTCTTAAAAATAACGTCTGGGAGCAGCGATGCAAGACACACATGCAAACACAGAGTCAGTGAGCTGTAACTGTCCTCAGCACATCACTGATGAAACTTTTGTCAACATATATTTTCTTCCTTTCACAGAAAACTCATCCCTGTTTTCAGTTCAACACTACTTTCTTATCTTTGATATTTACCTCACGCTCCATTCATCCTTCATCGAATATATGAAATACGTAGCGACTTAAAAATATCTCACAATGTGTAAGTAAAACGTAAAGGATGTTTTATGTTAGCGTCCATGTTTCAGGACTCTCTGTGTCCTGTGTCCCCTCGGGTTACCCCTGAGAATGAGACCCTCACTTGCACCATTGGCACTCTCACCTGGGAAATAGACACAATCCAGCAAACCCTGATGACAGAACCTGATCCTGACTGTCATCTGCAAACTTTGACTTTTGCTGTGCAGCCATCTGTGTAGGACACCTCCACTGGGTTGCCACTGCTAATTTTCCAGGTGCTGGATGTGCCTCACCAGTGATCCACTGACAGATGGAGGCTGGGACAGTGAGCTGGGTAGTTTGGAGTTGAGCTGAAGTCCACAACCTGATCCTATTACAGATCCTATTACGTGTACCAGGGCAGTCAAGGTGTTCCAGCTTGAGGTGCATTCCTGTGCTGACAGCATCATCCACTGACCTGCACCAGGGAGCGTGTGATGTTTGCAGATAGGTCAACACTCACGTCTTTACTACAGATGTCAGGGCAACATGTCTGTCATTAATTAACAGAGTGTTTCTTGGGGAAAGATGGTTGTTAGCTGAAAACCCATTTTTACTGTTTCAGTGTAGCGCCTCTTTGCTACCTTGATCTCCTTTGTCAGTATGTTTCTGGCCTGGGTATACAGGACTCTGTGCCCACTCCTGTAGGCGGCATTATCCCTGAATTTTCCTGTAAACCAGGGTTTGTTGTTATTGTATACGCAGGTTTTAGGATGTCACAGTGTCAGTGATGTTGTCCAGGTGTGCCTCAAAAACACTCCACTTCCTGCATTGTCTCACAGCACAAGGCCAGGCAGGCGCCTGTGGCACTTTTATTTTGACTGCATTGTTTATGGTTGTGTATTGTAAACTGCAGTATATTTACTCTTTATCATGCTGCTGCATGCATACAAATGTCCATTTTATTTGCAATAAACCAAAAACAAACAAACAAACAAGCTAAAAATGCAAAACAAAACACAGGCACACAGTAAAAGACCAGATGTCCCAGTTTTACACTGGGACTTGAAAGCAGCTTACATTTGTGGATCTGTGTGGCTGTGGCAGAAACCCCCACGTGGGCATGTGACGTGATCTGTGCGTGTCGGGCGATTGGTGCACATCTAAGGTTTTGTGAGTGAGGACATGTTTAGACATTTGTGTGCATAGACAGGTTTGTGAAAGAGAAAATGATCAGATTTGTGAGGCTGAACTTAATAAATTGTGTGTAAATGATCAGTATTTCTGCACCCACTGAACTACTACTGTAAAGACCAGAAAGGATGCACCAGTTAAAATAGAAGCGCCCATGTTAAATCATTGGTGGACAGATAGAGCTGGGTGTCATCTGCATAGCAGTGTAAATGTATGCTATGTCTTCTAATGATGCTGCCTAAGGGAAGCATGTATAATGTAAACAGAATTGGTCCTAGCACTGAACCCTGTGGAACTCCATAATTAACCTCAGTGTGTGAAGAGGACTCTCCATTTACATGCACAAACTGGAGTCTATTAGATAGATATGATACAAACCACTGCAGTGCAGTACCTGTAATACCTACAGCATGTTCTAATCGCTCTAATAGGATATTTTGGCTATATTAGCTAAGACACCGAAAACTTCCTCCCGAACAGAAAAAGTCCCTTTAAAGGACAAACTGCATTTTATTTCTTCGCGTCAATATATGGGCAGCAAGTGGCCCCCGGACCATGAGTTTGAAACCCCTGAGTGAAGAACAACTGTGTTTATTGTGAAAGGATCTCAATCTGTGCAAGTTAAAAAGAGCAGAAGTGGAACGAGAGTTTCTTTGAATGAATCTTTATTGTGTCAAACAGTGAAATGATGAACAAAACAAAGACGAGTGACAGAAAGAGAGACACCTGCAGAGGAAAACCAGCGAGTCAGCTCAGGACTGGGAACACTGGTCTCTCCTCAGTGTCTGTGAGAGAGGAGTGTGGGAGCCCTGGGTGGCCTCACAGGTCACAGAGCCCACCTTCTCCCACTGGTCTGCAGGGAGCCTCAGGGTGCTGCTCCAGCTGTAGAGGCCGTCCTCCTGCAGCACCCCTGGGCTCCTGCCCTCCTCCCAGCTGCTGCTGCTGCTGCCGTCCACCTTCCAGGACAGACTCCAGTCTGAGGGGAAGCCCTTGTTGGCCAGGCACATGAGCGTGGCCTTCCCCTGCTGCAGCTCCTCTCTGGATGGGGGCAGCACCGTCAGGGTGGGTGCAACTTGTCCCACTGGAGGAGGACACAGAGAGACAATATGAAGAAATTTCATGCAACAAGAAGAGAACCTCCACCCTGTTGGCTGCAGCTGGGGAGGCTGCTGGTTCTGGTCTTCAGTGTTTCACTTCCCTCTCTGAGCTCACTAATCATTTTTCAGTTCAATCTACTTTTACAACAACAGTCGCCTCAAGGCGCTTTATATTGTAAGCAGGGAAATCTCAGTTTAGTTTCATGAACAAAGTCAAATGGAGATTTACAGGTATCACTGCTAAGCATGACCACAGGCTCACCTCAACATTTAGATATCCTTTAAAGCCTCTAAGACGTTTTACATCTCCACTAAACATACTAGTGTAGCATGTGCTTCAATCAGTCACATTATGATGTTAGAATGAGGATGTTACATGTCATTAAAAAGGAAGACTGAGGACAACACGTGCAAAGATTCCCAGGAAAAATCTTTACACGCTCTTTCTTTGGTCATTATTATGAAAAATATCATTTAATACTATAATATGTTTTCTTTGAGTCACATTTTTTAATCTAATATTTGTGGACAGAATCATGAACTAAAGCAGCATCTCCAATAACTAACAGTATTTTCTAATAACATTATAATTTATGGTTATATACACACTGTGAAAATGACCAAACAGAGAAAAACGAGTTTCTTCATCAAACTAAATATCATCTGCAAAATTATTCAAAATTATTTAAAAATCAGAAAATAAACCCCAATTTTTTAACCTTTTCAGCAAAATAATCTCGATTAATTTCATGTAGAAGTCAAAGAAACTTACAGTCAACATCCAGCCTGGTTCCTCCACTGAACGTGTGCCACAGTGATACAAACTGACCGAGGCGTCGTACAAAAACCTGTAGAGACACGGCTCTCTGACTCTAAACACAAACAGTCTGTGAAACACAGCTGCTACAGGGAAATCCACTCAGAGTGACAGAAATCACAACAAGAAGAATTAGTTTAATTTAGTCTTTCCTTTCTCTTTTCAGTTTTATGTAAAAAAAGGTATTTAAAGTTCATCGCTGCACATTTATTGTTGTTTGCTTCTTTTTTTGAAGCCAAACCAGTCAAACGGTACTTTAGAGGCTGTTTGTCTTGACCAGTGTTGGATAAGTTACTTTTTAAAAGTAATTAATTACTAATTACTTAATCAATATTGTATTTAAAATACTTATCTAATTACTGTGTCTGAAAAGTAACTTAACATCTGTGTCGCTAGCGGTCACGTAGCACATCATTATATAGCAGCTAGCCCAACTTCAGTGACCCTACAAACGTCACTGCTGTTTAGTTTTCTGTCTTCATTTATGTTGGAAGTGATAGCAGAGCTGTGCGTTTGAATTTGTTTCCAAAACCCCGCAGTCAGGACATGCTATATTGTATTTAGATAGAAGCTAGCGAGCTAACTCCCTGCTAACTTCTAACTCCGTTAAATGTCATAAATTCCGTTTTCATGGATGCCTGGATGTTAAACTCAATTGTTACACCTGGTAGAGCAGAACGCTGATCATTTTATTAAAGATGAAAGACTTTAGATAGTTTTTCAACTCTCAGTAATGCCATAGTGATCTTTGATATATGGACCTGCAGCGGAGTTTAGGCCCAGACACGGCTAGTGACGTCAGACTGAACGACCGGATACCTTTCTGATGTGACCTTGTTGTCCCTGGCTCTCTTTCTCTCTCCCTCCCGCTCTGTTCCTGTGCTACTGTGAGTGTAACTACCGCCTCTCCCCCCTCTGCCCAGCGCAAAGCTTGTTATCTTTTTACAAAAAAAACAGCTGAACATGAGAGATTTTTGGACAAAGTTTGTGTGCACCATTCTCTAAGCACCAGTTCGAGCACCGTTTAAGCACCAGCACTGTTTCAAAAGTACCGGCTTGGCACCGGTATTGGATAAAACCTAAACGATACCCATCCCTACTCATTAGCAGCAATGACGAGTCGGCGTACAGAGATGAGGGACATTAACGAACTCTATTGGACTCCGCACACCGCTGCCTTTGTAAATACAGATGCTGCTCTATGGTCAGTCCTACTCTCAGGAATCCTGCTCATGTTGATCACTTTATTTCACACTGTAAACTGTAAAGCTGCTACGTTGG